GAGATTGAAATTGTTCATAGGGATATCAAGGTTACCAATATGGATCTTAATCCTAAGATCTCTGACTTTGGTTTGGTCAAGCTTGATGAAGATGAGAACACCCACATTAGCACCAGAATTACTAGAACTATGTAAGCTACCAATTTTCTTCTCGTAATGATGACCTATGCTCTTCGATTCTTTCAGAAGTTTGTATATCAGAAAATCTCGCCTTAGAACATGATATAATTCCATTACCTTTTCTTTCATCTCCAAATCATGACTAAACATAAGTAGTGCTGATTAATTACAAGTTCAAATTGTTGAAGTAACCAACAGTTATCCCTGTCTAACACATTTTTGCTGACTTTTTATGATTCTGATTTGTTAAAACACTGAGAATTCCTAATTTATGTTTGTGAACTCATTTGACCAAGAAAGTTCCCCAACAGGGAAACCGGTAGCCTTTGTGGATAGATGTCTCTTATTAGGAATCTGCATTTCCAATGGAGCCTTATGGAATAATTGGTAGTTGTATAGATCCACATTTACTGAATTGGATTATCTGCATTTGCAATGCAAGTTTACTTATGGAATAGTTGGTCATTGTATACATCCACATTTACTGAATTGACTTACGTGTACTTGTAATACGATAATATTGTTAACTTGATGTTTCATCTGTATCTTAGTTTCCAAAATGAATTAAAAAAGAGAAGAAAAAAGGTATTTTCATCTTTGTAAATTGTAGTAACTTGCAAAGTTACTTTGGATAAATGATTAACCAACTCATGGACCACGGTGGAGTTGGAGTAAGAGAGATATGTTCCACAGTTAGACCATATTGTGTATAAATACCACAAGTCTGCAATGGAAACCAAATTTGAGCGCAAAATTGGAAATTACAGTCAAGCCTACCACAATGGAATCGCATCCATAACTCAACTTTTACAGTAATTATATTGTTACAGTATAGCTTTTATATATGTCAATAAACTTTTCAATGTTTAGATGTGTTGTATTGTTACAAAATCTATTTCAAATTTCACTAAGGTAACAAAAAAAATGAAGTTCTGATTAGTTACCACACTTTTATGGCCATAAACTTTGAACAAATGCTTGAAAAATTGCCAAATTTACTCATGTATGCTGGCATTTATCATGTCAAACTACTGTTGTTGTTGTACATGTACGTAAAAACTTACATTGGTAAGATTGACAAAATAATGTTTGTTGTGCAGAGGGTACATGTCACTAGAATATGCATTATGGGGTCACTTAACCCATAAAGCAGATGTTTACAGTTTTGGGATTGTCACTTTGGAAATTATTGCTGGAGAGAACAACATGAAATATCGTGCTATTGAAAATTATGTTTGTCTACTTGATTGGGTAAGATTACCTAGTTCTTGAAGTCTCTTGATTGACAATAGAAAAAAGATACTTGCATATAAACAAATTACAAAACACTGGTACATGTCACTAGAATATGCATTATGGGGTCACTTAACCCATAAAACAGATGTTTACAGTTTTGGGATTGTCGCATTGGAAATTATTGCTGGAAAGAACAACATGAAATATCATGCTATTGAAAATTATGTTTGTCTACTTGATTGGGTAAGATTACCTAGTTCTTGAAGTCTCTTGATTGACAATAGAAAAAAGATACTTGCATATAAACAAATTACAAAACACTCACAAGGGGTGGGGCCCACATACTATGGGACCCACTCTATTGTGAGTGTTTTATGATTTGTTTGTGTGCATGTAGAACTACTGTATTGATGACACAATTTAAAACCATTTTTCCTTACTTTAGGATTGACCAATCCATTTAAGCTTAATTGGCTTGCTTTAACTCAAGTTAATGCAAAGGCAATTGAACTACCTGAATTGGTTGTCTAAAGTATGATTTTAATTGATTGACAGTTATTGTTTCCAATGCTTTAAATTCTCAATTGGATTGGGTATTCTCTCTTAATTTAAATGATAATGAATTACCAGTGTTCATAATTACAGATATTCCAATAATCCTTGATATTTATTTTTGAGTATGAAAAGGATTTCCACTGCAAAACAAGAGCGTAAACCCAAAATACAACATTGCTTTTATGAGTCAAACTCACTTTTAATTTTGTAAGTCCACGTTGATTGACCTATAATTAGTTATACTCGAGTCTTGGTTGTGTATTGCTACTTTATATCTTGGGTTCTTTACTGACTTATTACTTATCATGAGAATACATTTGTTGTTCTTATTTCAGGCACTTGCTTTACAAAAAAAAGGAAATTTAGTAGAGTTGATGGGTCCAAAGTTGGGTTCCAATTTCAACGAGGAGGAAGCAATAAAAATTATTAAAGTGACTTTATCTTGCACTAATCAATCTTCGGTGGTTAGGCCGACCATGTCTGCAGTAATAAGAATGCTTGAAGGTGATATATGTGTCAAAGAATTGATGATGGATCAAAGTGAATATGGTGATGACTTAAGGTTCAAATCCCTTAGAGACAAATACTATGAGCTACAATGCCAGAACTCAAGCGAAGGTCAAACCCTCATTGATTTATCAGAAATAGCACAAAATGGCTCGTCCTCTACAACTTCTCATGATCTCTACCCATTTAGTCTTGATTCTCATTAATGAAATCCAACTTGGAATGTGTCATGGTGGCTTCATTACTCTGCAAGCATTACATGCATTGTTTTTTTAATTTTGGTTGAAAAATTTCATTCTGTTGTTTTTTAATGTTTCAAATGTTTAATGTTTGATGTTTTGGTGATTGTTAGTCTTTCGGTAACTTTGTCATATGTTTTCAGGTCATGTGATTTGTTTTTAGATAGTAGAATTTTGTTTTGGTTGTGTGGTTGTATTGTTGTTGAAGTTCTACAAGTGAAGAAAAGTCGAAATATAGAAAATATTGGGTATACCGCCTTAGTGGAGTATGAGACTCAATTGGTTTATTAAAATATTTGGTTTGATTTGGTATTGGTTATAATATATTTTTAATATATTATATCTGACTTTTGGAGGCTTAATGGGTATTTAATATTCAGTTTGATAGCAGTTAGGGTTTTGATAAAAGGGCTAAGAATTAACAATATTTTATATATATTGTTTTTTGCTCTTCCAAAGCAATCCGAAGCAAAGTGCAGCGGCTATTTGACTATTCATTCTTGGTAACTGTGCTACAAATTGATTTACTTGTGGGAAATAATCTATTTTTCCTAACAACTAGTATTAGAACTTACGGTTTATTTGAGTTTATTTATTTGTGTAAATCAATAGAGGGGAATGTGAGTCCTTGTGTCATGACCCAAATCCGTATTTTTAGGTTTAGCGTCATAACCGACCAGTAATCTTGGGATTACTGAAGGCCTATGTCCTGAAAATCATATAAATGGAGGGGTTGTGGAAGCAAATACAAACATACGCCCATATAGCTGTGTGACATACATGAGATAGATAATTTAAAACTTTGTACATATGTATACATAACGTCGAAAGGTCATAAGTTATGCAATACTGTATAGGTATTATCAAAAGGGACCAGTCTTGTATACAGATAAACAAAAGCAAAACTAAACAAAACAAACTCTTAGCTTGGTCCACAAAACTTGACTTTTTTCAATAGAAACCTTCCAGGGAGGCATGGTGGGTGCCTGGCTGACTCAAAACTCAAACTTTAGGCCATCAACTCTAGGCTTAGTTACGCGCTTGGTCACCTACATACAAAATATAAATAGAGTGAGTGGGAGCCAAGTGAATAATAACAAAGTAAATGGTTAAATAAATGATGTCCCGTAACAAATTCAGAAAGCAGAAATAGAGTCATAATTCTTATTCTTTTTCAAAATCATATACAGAAATCAGAAATTCGTGCTTAATCATATATGGTACATCCATTAGCGCTAACAGATAAGATACATAGCATTAAGGGTCATACTTAACCAATTCCATAAAGGAACCTCTAGTACCGAGAACAGATAACATGCTTAAGCCATGGTATTGTTACCCTCGGGCGAGGGCCATGAGACCACAGTATTATTACCCCCGGGCAAGGGCCATGAGACAACGGTATTATTATCCCCGGGCAAGGGCCATGTGCTAAGGATGTCACCAATACATTTTAGAAATTTGGACAATTATTCATTGTACAGGATATATCATTTCATAAAATAGATCTTAATTCATCATATAGAAAATAAATTAAGTTGAACATAGCTTTACTAAGTTATTACTTATAGATGGCTCCAGAAGCAGACAGACAGAACAGACAAATCAAATAGCTTATGGCACGTGACCTACACAAACATAACAGGTACACATTGAAATACACGTTCGGAAGGCACTAAACTTACTTCTTTTCGTTCTTAGTATGTTTCTAAGTTTTATTCTCATATTAGGTCTTAATTAGGGCCTAGGAATGCCTAGCATGCAATGAGGATGTCAAAATGTATTTTGAAACACTTAACAAAATTTGCTAAAAACAGGGCCTTCGCTCAAGCGTAACTTCCTTCGCTCGAGCAGTCTGTATATTATGTGAGACTGAGGTCTTCGCTCGAGCACAACTCTAGTCGATCAAGCGGTGTTCAAAACATGAAAAATTTTGGGAGCATGCATTTTACGCTCGAGCCAGCTTTTGGTAGCTTGAGCAGAAGTGCAAAACAAAGGGTGGTTGCTCGAGCGTACGATCTGTCGCTCTAGTGGAGAAGCAAAATTCTGGAATTTCCAATTTTTATTCCAAGCTTCAAAACTCGAATTCAATGGTTCAAAAAACACATTTTGGACCCAAAACTTGAGAAAACACTTGTAAACTCATAGAACTTCATGTTTTGAAGGTTATTTTGCAAAATCAAGTCAAAAAACAAGTGAATTCTTCCACATTCTTCCAAAGTAAACTTTAAACTTGTGAAAACATAACATGCATGCAATGACTCGAATATAAAGCTTCCAAAACATAAATAGATGAAATGTTTTCAAGTGGAATCATAGTGAGCTCTTACAATATAGCAATGGTATGCTATTTGTAGACACCCTATTTTTGACCGCCCTTAAGACTTGGGCGTTACTGATGGTTTACTTGGTGATGAAAGATGTGCAGGGCAAATGTTCGATTTCTTCGGCAAGAGGAGAGTCAAATCCTAACCTCATACCCCATTTTGGACCAAAGCTATTTTGGATGGTTTTTAGACCTTAAAACCCTCTCTTTCAAAATATTTTTTGAAATAAAGTTCCTACGATGTTTCGAGGCTCGCATTTCGTTAAATGCTGCGCTTTTTGATAAACCAAGCGAGGACAAAGTGGAAATGAATGAAAGAGAGATGAAATCTTTGAAAAATATTTCAAAACACCTTGTTCGGGGGTTTAGAGTTGAAGAAAAGAGGAGTAGAGAGAAGAAACCTAGTTGAAGAAGAAGATGGGCATGAATCGCTAAGAGAGAGTCAGGCGGCCCTCGCTAAATCAGGCCTATCTTTTTGCACCCTTGGATTTCAGCCATGACGCTACCACTGTTGGAAAGAAGACTTCTAGGGTTTGATTTTGCACTCAAGAATCTCCTAAAGCCAAGTCCGGATGGGGGAGATATGATTCGTTGAAGTTGGGCATCATTCTGGTTGGACCGAAACTGAGCAGTCTTCACTAAAAGAGGGATATCTCTTAGCACGCTTTGAATTTTGATACAAGGATGATACCATTGGAAATCTTACTTCCGGGGCTTCAATTTTCACACAAGAATGACTTGAAAAGGCATCCAGATGAAGGAGTTAGGCTTCCTTCAAGTCGGGGACCAGGACTGATTTTTGCTGCAGACCACTAAGGGAGTGTGCCGAGCACAAATGGAGCATGCCGACCATATGCCAACCAGAAATGATCCTTGCCGACCAGAAAAAGTATCTGACCGAGCAGTTGGGGTGGTCGATCAACCAAAAATTTCCAGAAAGCCCAGAATTCTCAGATATTTTCCTCTCCAGCTGTTGTGCAGTGCATCATATATTTCCAAATCAGATATTTCGACCAAATGCTCATATATTTCTATATATTGAGCCATATCTTATATATTGAAGTTTGAGCAAGTTTTGGGGAGTCTCTCTCTCTAAAGTCTCTCTCTCTATAATTTTGTGAGCAAAATTCCAGCCCCTCCCTCTAGAAGCCTCATTCTTCTCTTGTTTTTGAGCCTTAAGCTTAGAATTCTCTACACTTTTGCAAAGAGACCCTTAACCAAACTTGATCACCATTGGGCTGAGGTAGCTTGGGACTTTGTTTGAGCTCTAAAAGGCTGATTTTGGCTCAGATTTTGGCTGGTTTTGCTGCTATGCTTCAAGGTGCTTCAAGGGTAAGCACTTCCCCCTTTCAAGCTTGTTTTTACACACTTGCTTTATCCCCCTTTTCCCATTGTTTTGGACTATTTTGGGGCTGTTTTTGGGGTGGTGTTGAACTACAAAAAGGTCTAATTTTCAGTCTTAGAAATGTTGGTTTAAGCCTTGTTTGGCTAGGGGGTTGTCTCTCCTTTTTGCTCCTTGGCTTGTAAAGCCTTTTGAGCCAACTTCCTAAGCTTTTGAAACCATCTTTTCTTGGCCTTTTCACCACTGAATTCCAGAGTAATTTCAGTGGTGGAAAGTGTGTTTTGAGGCCCCAAATGGGTGGGGGTTCTCCCCCCTCCTCTTCTCATGTTCGCTTGTGTTGATGGCTCATCAAAGTAGCATGTGTGTTAAGCTTGTTTTGGCTCCATCTCAGCCTATTTTTGGCCTTATTTCAGTATGGCATACCTCTATTTTGGCTTAGTTTAGGCCACCCTTGCATGCTTTATACACTTGTAATGTAATCCTTGCAAACTAGCCTTGATGCTTGCTATTTTAGCCTATAATTCTAGCATGTTTTGTAACGCCCCGACCCTTTACACATCATCGATATTGTCCGTTTTGGGCCACGCCCGCACGGATTTGTTTTTCCCAGTCGGTCACACATCCCCGTGCAGTAGCCTGCTAGCTCGCAAGCCCGCCCACATACACCGAGAGACACCAGGGGCCCACACTCGATACTCTGGAGAGTCGGCTCTGATACCATTTGTAACGCCCCAACCCTTTACACGTCATCGATATTGTCCGCTTTGGGCCACGCCCGCACGAATTTGTTCTTCCCAGTGGGTCACTCATCCTATAACTACTCCAGTTTAAGCACGCTTAACTGGGGAGTTCTAATAGGGATTTCACCACTTAGGAAAAGGCCTCGATGCTATATAAGGGTCCAGGTTTTTACTTTTATAGCCCAGGAACTCCCCCTCCATTTCCGATGTGGGACACCGGGGCCTTACATGTTTTGGCTCCACTCCAGCACATTTTTGGCCATTATTTAACATGTTTTAACTTTGTTTTTGGCATGTTTGATCATTGGTTGCATGCTTCATGCACTTGTAGTGTAAATCCTCTTTGCTAGCCTTGCATGCCTAATGAGTTAGCTTGTTATTTTAAGCATGTCTTGGCTTAGTCTCAACCCATTTTTGGTGTTATTTTGACATTCCATAACTCTGTTTTTGGTTGGTGGAGTCACCTCTTGCTTGGTTTTTGCACTTGTAGTGCAATCTTGCCCATTGGCCTAGTGTACTTGGTGTTTTGGCCCTTTATGCTAGCTTGCCTTGGCTATACTCTATACATGTTTTAGCATTATTTTGACATGCTTTAGGACTGTTTTGGGTGTTCTTGGCCTTTTGGGACTTGCTTTGTATAGCTATAGTGTAAATGGCTTCACTAGTCTTGAATTTTGAGGCCGCTACCATGCTATACTTGTGATGTTTGCATGCCTTGGCATCATTTGGCATGGTATTTCAGAGCTTATATCTTTGCCATACTCTCATGTTTATCACTCTTTAATTGTGTTTAAGAGTTGTGCCATTATGCCTTGTTTGTGAGCT